CACAGAAGTGATGGCAGAAAACTTCCCAAGGAGGGGAAAAGAACTTGACATACAGATAAGTGAGGCATATAGCACTCCAGCTAGCCTTAATCAAAGAAAAATCTGGCTCTAAAATATATTACAAAACTCTAGTAAGTAGCTTCTGTATAGCAAATGAAACAATCAACAGAATGAAGAGACAACCTATAGAATGGGAGAAAATGTGTGCAAACTGTATATATATATATGACCAACACATACATGGAGAAATGTTCAACATCCCTAATCATCAGAAAAATGCAAATCAAGACCACAATGAGCTGTCACTTCATTCCAGTTAAGATAGATAGCTTTTATCAAAAGAATAAAAGATAAATAGTGCTGGTAAGGAACTAGGGAGAAGAGAAAACTTACATTCTGTTAGGAATGTAGATTAGTGATATAGCCACTATACAAAATGGAGGTTCCTTCAAACAAACAAACAAACAAACAAACACATCAAATCTCATTTAAGCTGTAATTGAGGAGTGACATAGGAAACTTCTAGACATAGATGAAGACACCCATGGCATCAGAATAAGCTCCCTGAACCTTGCTAATGAAATTGTGTATTATCAATAAGCCTGCATGGATACCTCGAGCACTCATCATCATATCCTCAGATGTTTGTAAAATGTCATCTGTCTTTTCTTGAAGTTGATAGAAATAGAGATACTTACTTCAGATAGTTACTTCAGATTTAAACATGAGGAAGTCTCATACCTTGAGGACTTGCCTGGAAAGATTTGTAAATTTTCTGAAAGGACTTTGAGTGTATTTCACAGTGACAACTGGTGCCAGTGCAAAAAATATCTGGATCCTTTTCGCCAGTTCTGGATTTGTAGAAAATGCCATGAAAGCTGAAAGCCAGGAAGATTATAGTTGATAGATTTAAACTATTATTTCTTCATTTTATGTGATAATAAAGTCAGCCACATTAAAAATAAAGCAAAATAAACAATTCAGAGTAATTACCACTTTGTGGGGAAGAATTTCTAAATTTCCCAAGGGTAGAATTAGCCAATTTATATTAAAGCGAGTTTCCTGTCCCTGGGGAAAGCATGTCTACTTATACACAAAGTATTGAATAGAAGGTTCAAGCATCCCCTGTGGACATATGTCTGACTAATCTCTAAGGTCACAAGTTTGACCATAGTCTGATGTCAGACAAAACAGAGCTAGAACTTTGGCTCCCCACTCATTAGTTGTGCGAAGTTACCTTCTTGGTATGCATCCCTGTGTTCTCAGTTTGCAAATGAGGATAATAAGATCTTTAGAGGATGATTCATAATACACACACATATATTGATGGCAATGGTCTCATAATCATGGATCATAATGGTCTCAGTTGTATGTAGTATCCAAAAAGAAAAGCAAACAACAGTGAGAGGACTGAGGTGCCTCATGGCACTGCCAACACAGTCTACTCACATCTGGTCTACCCAAGTGCAGACCAAAAGTAGTAAAAAAAGTCACACTGATTGTAGC